ACATCTGTGATTTTCCCAAATGTGGGAAACTGGACTGCATAATTTATGGTAGTGGGGGACTACGTTCATGTTCTGTCCTGGTGTTTAAAAAAAAAAACTTTATGAAAGACACAGAACATTAATAAAAATTGATAATAAACTGGGCTATTAAGTAAATTGCAACAATTCACAGAGGTTTGTAATGATACAGGGTATGTTTTCTGATCACAGTACAGTTAAACTAGGAATATAACAAAAATATAACTAGGTAGGATATGTGTGGATGTTGCAATCCTATATAGCCCTTGGGATGAGAAAGAAGTTACAATGGAAATTAGAAAATAAGATCTTGAGTGATGAAAATACTGTATATGTATGGAATTCAGCTTATTAAATGTATATTTTAGAAAGAAGGAAAGGCTGAAAATCAGTGAGCAAAGCCTTCCGTCTCAAGAAATAGAAAAAAACATAGAAGGAAGGAATTAATGTTTTTAAAGAATCACTAATTTAGCAAGAATAATAATTAAATAGAAAAGAAGTTGTCATTAGGGAGGATCAGTAAAGCAGAAGCTTGTTATTTGAAAAGACTTGTAGATGTGATAAATCACAAGTAGCATACATAGATGAAAAGGGGACAAGATGATAGGTAGGTGCCAGAAGCATTAAAAAAAAAAAAAATCTGTTATGAAGAGCTTTATGCCAGTAAATTTGACAACCTATGTGAAATAAGGTCTTTTAAAAATATAACTTACTAAAACTGACACATGAAGAAATAGAAAATCTTAATAGTTCTGTAACTGTTAAGAATTTGAGCCTGTAATTTAAAATTTCCTCAAAGAGACAACTCCTGTTTGGGCTGGCTTAATTGGCATATCCTACCAAACTCCTAATGAAAGGAAAATCGCCAATTTTAAACATCATCTTCCAGAAAATAGTAAAGGAAGAAAGATTCTGCAATTTGTTTTAAGGCCAGCACAAACTGCATGACAAAACCGAGGAAGAACGTTTGAGAATAGAAAATGATAGGCCACTCTCAGTTGTAAGGATCAGAAGATACATAAAATGATCGTAAGATGCAAAAATCCTAAACCCAGTATCAGAAAACTGACTAGTCAGTAGCAAAAAACCCAGGATGATAAGCCCAGGATGATACATCAAGACAAAGTTGGTTATATACAGGAATGCAAGATCTACTTAATGTTCCAAAGTCAATCAGTGTAATTAATTTACCATGTTAACAACAGAAAAAAAAGGATCGTAAGATGGGTTTGATCAAATTCAGCATTTCTTCATTTAAAAAACAAAACAAAACAGGAAACTAAGAATAAAAGGGGCAGTTCTTAATCTGACCAAAAAGAAAAAAATTCCTATGGCAAACATACTTACTGGAATTGTAAGCCACTTTCCCTTTGAGACAGGGAAAAAACCTGAATGACTATTTCTTTTCAGTATTAAACAGGAAATCATAGCTAGTCCAATCTGTGGATAAAATATTAGGATCAATAGTGATGTTAGCCAAACCGCAGGATCCAAGTTCTACAAATAAAGACCTGTTATATTTCAGGACGCCAAGTGCAACAGTCAGCAAAACGGTAAATTTTAAAATATATGTCATTTTTAGTATCTTCAAAAATACAAAATGCCTAGAATAAATCGGATTAAAGATGTGTGATACTCCCATAGAGAAAAAAATAACTCATCAAGAGACAGGAAAGAAGACTTGAATAAATGGAGAAATATACTTCGTTGATAGGTTGGAACACATTATTTTATCCTTAGGTTTTTTTTTTTTAGACTGAGCCTCGCTCTGTCGCCAGGCTGGCGTGGAGTGCAGTGGAACAATCTCGGCTCACTGCAACCTCTGCCTCCCAGGTTCAAGTGATTCTCCTGCCTGGGCCTTCTGAGTAGTTGGGACTACAGGCATGCGCCACCATGCCCAGCTAATTTTTGTAGTTTTAGTAGAGAGGGTTTCCATGTTGGCCAGGATGGTCTTGATCTCTCAACCTCATGATTTACCCACTCTGGTCTCCCAAAGTGCTGGGATTACAGGCGTGAGCCACCACTCCTGGCCTATCCTTAGGTTTTTATACTGAATGTTATCTCAATTTAAAAATCCAAAAGATAGTGGATTTATGTATGTGTAATTTGACAAGCTGATTTAAAATTTATATGAAAATGCGCAGTCAAAAAGCAGTTCTTGAAGAAAAAGAACAAGATGGGAAGATTTGCTCTACCAGATAATTAGAAGTTTTAAAGTTACAATAATTAAGACTACATGGCATCAGGTGCCAGATCAGATAAACAGACCAGTGACCAGTGTAGCAGAATGGACGGTTCAGAAAGAAGTCCATGAATGGTAGGGACGTCTGGTTTATGATAGAGCTAGCCTTAAGTGGAGAAAGACATTTTTTCAATAAATGATACTGGGAGAATTAGTATTTTGGGGAAAAAAAAATCCTGATTTCTACCACATACCGTATGTAAAAATCAGTTTCAGATAGATTGTAGATCTCAGTATGAAAGGTAAAAGCAAAAAGTCTCTAGAAAATAACAGGAAAATATCTTTATGACTATCCAATAAGATAATTTTTAAAACATCAACAAAAATAAATCACTGTAAAAAATGCTGGCACAGTGTATTATACTAAAAATAAGAACTTCTGGTTAAGAAACATCTTAAGGGTCATAGAAAGGCAATCCATGTTCTGTGTGAGAGTTCTTCAGAAATAGCTGACAAAGGCTTGTATCTTTAATATATAAAGAATTCCTATAAAACAATAAGAAAAAGACGTTGAAAAACAAGCAAAAGATTTGACAAGTACCTCACAAAAGAGGATGCACAAGGCCCAGCGAAAGTATAAGGTGCTTCATCTCATTCACAGGGGAGATGCAGAAGAAAACCATGTGAAATAGAACCTCGTAACAAGCCACCCTCTAGAATGCTAAGCTAAGACACAATAGCAAATGTTAGTGAAAATGCGTGCAGCGGGAGCTCTAGTGTACTGTGTGACATCAGTTACTAAATGGAAGTTGCACAGACTCTGTGACCCAGCCGTCCACTCTGGAATGTGTGCCCGATGTGCATTCACAGGTATGCTGAGTTATGGGTACAGAAATGTTGACACCCTTACTCCAAACCAGGAAACTAGAAACAGTGTTTACCAACAGTAGCATTTATGAATCATAAAATATGGATGTAACAAGAATTCTGTATGGCAAAGGAAATGAGCAGCTGGAGGTGTGAATACCCACAGGAACGAACCTCTCAGACATCCCAAAGGCAGAAACAGCCAGACGTGAGGTGGTGCACACTGTGAGTTCCTGTTTACAGCCAACCAGAGGCATGGTGGACTGCTCCGTTAGGTGGGGGGGGGCACAGAGGGCCTGACCCAGAAGTGTGATCTTTGCCTCCCTGGAGGGAAGAGGAGGCTGAAATGGGAGAGAGCCCTCGGCTGCCATCTCCAGTTTTTTTTAAGAGGGTCATACTCTGTTGTGCCAACTGGGGTACTGTGGGTTGGTTGCTGGGACTTTAGGCACATGCCACCATGCCTGGTTAGTGTTTATTTTTTGTGGAGACTGGGTCTGTCTGTGTTGCCCAGACTGGTCTCAAATTCCTGGCTTCAAGCGATCTTCCCTCCTCCACCTCTGAAAGAACTGGGATTTCAGGAATGAGCCGCTGCACCTGGCCCCAGCCGCTACCCTTGACGTGGATGGTGACTATGCTCACATGCACGTGTGGTGCAGTCACATGTCTCTTAGAGATGGGGACACGTTCTGAGAAGTGCATCATTAGGAAGTTTCATTGTGCACACATCAGAGTGAACCTACACAAACTGAGGTACAGCACACTACACACCTGTGGTACAGCCTGTGCTCCTAGGCTGTGAACTCTCCTCCACACTGTAGGCAGCTGTGACACAATGCTAAGTCTTTGTGTATCTCAGCACACCTAAAGGTAGAAATGGTAATGCGTTGGGCTAGACATTGCAATGGCTCTGACACCCTGGCGTGGCAGGAATCTCTAAGTCCCATTATAACTTTATGGGACCGCTGTCACATACACGCTGCTGACCAGAACGTCACTGTGCAGCGCAGGACTGGCTGAGCCTTACAGTTGTGCTTCTCTGTGGATGTCTTTGTGGACTTTTCTAGCTGCTCTACAGCCCTCTCCCAATGTTCTTTCCTTACCTCTGCTCTACTAGGGTAAGTGGATAAGGGTTGCTTTTAGTCTCCTCTTTGCTGTGCAGTCAAAATTAAAAAGAGACTTTGTTTTACTATTGTTTTCTGCCTTAAAGGCTGTTGACTGTTTTTAAAGGTTGTTGACTTTTTGATGGAAAATCCAATTTTAAAACAATATAGAGCTGTGTTTTACAATACCTGGATATTTTAAATCTAACCTGCTGTAATGAAGAGATACCTAAATAAAGTAGCTTAAGGTTTATATGAGTTTATTTTTCGCTTGTGTGACCGGACAGAGATAGCAGTGGCCCAGGCTGGCAGGATGACTCCATTGTGCAAGTCACTGAGAAATGGGATCTTTCCATCCTTCTATTCCCTCGTCCTCTGCCATCTTGTCATTGCAGGGCAGGGGCCTCTCTCCATGGTCACAGCTACAGTGTTAGACCACGCCCTTGTCCCAGTTCTCAAGAAGAGGGCAAAAGATGTTGGTTTTGGGTTTTTCTTTTAATAATTTTACTGAGATTAATTCACATACCGTATTTTCTCTCATTTAAAGTCTACAACTCAAGTGGTTTTAGTATATTTCCAGAGTGAGCGGCCGCCACCAGTATCTGTCTTAGAGCATTTTGAATTCCTTTAGCAAGGGAGACATTGCCGCCCTTAACCTTCTCTTACTTCATCACTTAAAACAGCCCTCAGGCCACGCCTGGGAAGGGAAGGTGGGGAATATGGTCTCTGGCTGGAGCCACATGCCTGGCCACAGTTCCTGCTCACTGGAGAAGGGGAGAGTCCACTGGGGAGGCATGTCCGCCGCAAGACACAAACCACTGTCTTCATCGCAGGTGTGACAGCACGGAGAAGCTAAAGGCTCTTCTGCCAAGACTGGAGCAGGAGCTGAAAGATACGGCCAAATTTAAAGATTTTTATCAGTTTACCTTTACCTTCGCTAAGAACCCGGGGCAGAAGGGTTTAGGTGAGTATGAAATCCAAATACGTAAAATGCTAGATCACAATGAGATTATCAGTGGACTTGAGCACATGATTTCTGTATAGCCTTCTGTAATGATTTTGGGTTTTGGTTTGATTTTTTTGAGGTAGGGTCTCACTCTGTCACCTAGGCTGGAAAGCAGTGGCACAGTCACAGCAGCCTCAATCTCCTGGGCTCAAGCAATCCTCCCATCTCAGCCTTCCAAGTAGCTGGGACTACAGGCGTCCACCACCACATCTGGCTGGCTGCTTTCATTTTTGTTTTTTAGTTTTTAGTAACGACAAGGTCTTGCTCTGCTGCCTATGCTGGTCTCGAACTCCTGAGCTCAGGCGTGGCAGGCATGAGCCACCATGCGTGGCCCAGCTGTAGCATCACCACCCCCTTCTGGTTTCTTTTCCTCTCCACACTTTGCCCTGCACGTAGGTAGATGAGTTTATAATACCATGTGCCTGAAAATCTCGGTTGATAGTGTCTCTCAACATCTGGGTTCACACACTTAGTTTTAAATGTAAACATTTAAAATTATAAATATCCTGTGTCAGCTCATATTGCTCTCTCTATGGCACGTAGACCCAGCCCGCATACCAACAATTCAGCCTACTTTTGCGTTTTATTTTAAAATACTGTAGTCCATTTTATGGACCATTCGTGTGGACCATAATAAATATTTTTTTTTACTTGAGGAGTCTGCATTCACCTTAGCTGTCACTTCCTAACCCTGCAGCAGGGATTCAGGGACTGCAGTGAAGGTGGACGTGGAGCTGGGTTGGGCACTGGGTGGTGTGCAGTGATCACCTGAGAGGGCAGTCACACAGAGGAACAGACATGGCCAGAAGGACAGGGAACACAGGTGAGGGGAACAGGGACAGGGACATGGGGGATGGTGGGACAGAGGCACAGGGGACAGAAGCATGGGGCAGCAGCAGGACAGAGGCACAGGGGCAGAGACACAGGGCTGGTGAGAGATACCAGGTGCTGACACGCATCTTGGCCCCGTGCTGTAGTTACTACAGTACCTGCTGTGTGAGGCGCGTGGGGCCTGTTGGGCTCTCACTTTGCCTCTTGGACAACAGTAGTGGTACCTGCTACATCTTGGCTCGGGAGCCTGCTGTGTCTAGCACCTAGGGACACCAGCAGCTGCGGCCCAGGGCCGAGACCCCAACCTTGCTCAGGGCTGCGATGTGTTGAGAGCCTGTCCTGTCCTTTCTGTTTGTGAGCTGGGATGATCACGGAAGGAAGTCTTTCCGTCTCCTGGTGTTGGGTGCCAGAGGTGCCGGCCACCAGAAAGGCAGGGTGACCTCAGGAGGTGAGTGCATTCCCTGCCTCCTTCCACTGATGGTCAGTTTGTTCATGTCCTTGTGAGATCATGGAGTGCTGTTGGTGTGCTCTATGGTGGTGACCGCTTCCTTCCTGTCTGCGTGACAGGCTGTCCTGGGCTCGTCCAGCCACCTTCTGCCCCAGACCTGGACTCGCTTTTCACCCAAGAAGCCCTGATTTCTTTTAGTGGAAACTGGCTTCAGGCCATGACGGAGTCGCCGCTGGTGCTCATTCACAGAGTCGTCGTTTCTAGGCTTCTTTAGTAAGCAGAGGCTCTCGTGGGGGCTTTTTATTTTTTAAATCTTTGTTCATGTGGTTGCTTCTAATCCACACTCAGGACTACAGATTATTTTTCCTACTTGAGCTTGTCTGTATTACAGCCGTGTGTCCCTTCTACCCTGGTTCTCAAGGGTGCAGGTGATGACAGCATTAGAACGTCCACTGTGACATGTTAGCCCAGTCCCAGTCACATACAGCACAGGCTCGGAGTGATGGAACAAATGCCATCTCCACCAGTATAATTACTCTGAGTAGTGAAAAAGGAAAGCAGGGTGGTCATACGTTCTCCCCCCATTTAAAAAAATAGTCAGGCCTTGCCTCTGCTTTCCAGGTACACAGCCGGGCCTCCCCTGTCACTTGTTTGGTCCTGGCTCTGTGTTCCCTAGTAGCCCCTGCTCGTCTCCCGGGCTTCCGTTGTTTGAATGTCTGAAGTGTGTCACTCCACTTTCTTCTGGCATGGATTGTTACTGTCAGACTGATGGTAAGCCAGTCTTCCTGGCCTTAGAAGTTACTGTTTTGCCTGGATTCCCAAACAAAGCCCATTTTTTTCTTTTGTTTTAGAGCCCAGTAATTTTGCTAGAATTTGTCTGGGTGTGGTGGGTCATCCGTGGTCAGTGTTCTCATATGTGATGCTGAGTGTTTTCAGTAAGTACTTTCTAATCTTTTTATAATTTCAGGGAAAATGTTCTTGAATTATAGCGCTAAGCGTTTCCTTGTATTTGGTTTTAGTCTCCATGGGAACTATTATTACCCACATAATTGGAGTTGAGTCCCCTGTGGAGCTGGGTCCTCTGGGGAGTTAGGTCTTCAGCAATGCAGGTCACTTTCTCTTGGTCCTTTTTATCTGTACTTCTTTTTTTTTTTATTGTAAAAATGATCTTCCTTTTTCACCATCTCCTCCTCTGAAGTCATTTCAGTCATGTGTCACATGATGACAGCGATGGGATCTGAGAAGTGCAGCATTAGGCAGTCTCATCCTTGTGTGACATCACAGGGTGCACATTTGCAGACCTGGGTGGCGTAGCCTGTTGCATGCCTAGCGGATGGCACAGCCCATGGCTTCTGGGATACAAACCTGGATAGCATGTGACTGTACTGAGTGTGGTAGGCAACCGTGACACCATGGTGAGGCTTTGTGTGTCCAAACACACCGAAGCATAGAAAAGGTGCAGCGGGAATGCACTTCTGCAGTCCTGTGGGACCGCTGTCACATATGCAGCCTGTCGTTGGCTGAGACGTTAATGCAGAGTGTGGCTGGCTTTATCTCCCTCATGTGCCTTCTAGTTCAGTAATTTCCAGAATGTTTTACCTTTGTTTCTAATTCTTGAGTGTCATTTCCTCATTTCTAAGCTTTCCTAATTCTCATTTGTGGTCTTTCATGTTTTGTTTCATTTCTTAATGTCCTTTAACCTATTTTGAAGTCAATGGTCACACTTAAAAAAATTTTTTTTTATTTATTTTGAGACAAGGTCTTGCTCTCTTTCCCAGGCTGGAGTGGAGTGGTGCAATCATAGCTCACTGCAGACTCGAACTCTTGAGCATAAATGATCCTCCCACCTCAGCCTCCCAAAGTGTTGGGATTACAGGCATGGGCCAGCATACCTGGCTTAACATTTTGTTTTAGAGTGAGGTTCTCGCTCTCTTGCCCAGGCCGAAGTGCAGAGGTGTGATCATGACTACAGCCTCAGGCTCCTGGGTTGCAGTCATCCTCCCACCTCAGCCTCCCAAGTAACTGGGACCGTCGGCACATGCATTGTACCTGGTTAAGTTTTAAAGTTTTTTTTGGAGAGATGGAGTTTTACTGTGTTGCCCAGGCTAGTATCAAACTGCTGGCCTAACACAGCCCTCCCACCTGAGGCTCCCACAGTGCTGGGATTACAGGCGTGAGCTGCCGTGCCTGGCTGAAGATCGCACTTTGAGTCTGTTCTGTCGGTGTGTTTCCTGACACATGTTCGTTTTCTAGGCATGAAATTCTGTTTGTAGTATCTTTTTTGTTTTGTTTTGTTTTGTTTTTTGAGATGGAGTCTTGCTCTGTTGCCCAGGCTAGAGTGCAATGGCTGGATCTCGGCTCACTACAACCTCTGCCTCCTGAGTTCAAGCAATTATCTTTCCTCAGTCTCCTGAGTAGCTGGGACTACAGGCGCGTGCCACCACGCCTGGCTAATTTTTTGTGTTTTTAGTAGAAACGGGGTTTCACCATGCTGGCCAGGCTGGTCTCAAACTCCTGACCTTGTGATCCACCCTCCTCGGCCTCCTGAAGTGCTGGAACTACAGGTGTGAGCCACCATGTAGTATCTTTTTTCTTAAAATAGCATTGTATGGGATTTGATCTCAGGGCTCATTTTTATGTGAAATTAGTTTTCCTACAAGATCTTCACAAGGAAGATGGTTCGGGGCAGCTTTTCGACTTCATGGTGCTCCCTCTTGGGTGGGTGTGTGTGTGTGTGTGTGTGGGTGTGGGTGTGCGTGCGCGCTGTGCACGCATGTAGTATACAGAAATGTTGGCTTTGCTGTCGCTACGACTGTCTGGCACTGCTCCTCTCCTCTCCTCAGCTTTTCTCCCTTTTCGGTCTCCATTGTTCCTTTCCCGACCAGCCTATTCTGCTCCCAGAGTCATTTTATTCCTGAGTACCACAGTCCTTCCTTTTCACTCATTTATGACTGGTTAAGTTAGGAGAAGAGTTTTGGGTATATTTTTTCAATGTTTATTCTAAAGGCACTAAAGATTATTCTTTTACCTCTGAATGGAGAAATGTCTTACCAGCACGTTAAGAGAAGGGAAGAGTCTGCACTGAAAAGTATTTCTGCATCTACTCTGTTTATAACTCTGTTTGTAAAATAACTCTTGGTTTATGAGCTACATACCAGATGTCAGGTTCAGCCTACTTTTAACAAATGAAAACATTTGGTTTTCTACGATAAAACTCTTATTTTTTATCTTCTCTATTCCACTCTATTTCTTTCTAAGAGGCTGAGGCAAAAATTAAAGTTAAAGCTCATTTTAGTTGAGACCCTGATTACTCAGTAACTATCATCAGTATTCTCAAGAAACCATTACCAGTCTTTTCTAGAAACTTACAAGGAGGCTGGGTGCGGTGGCTCACGCCTGTAGTCCTAGCACTTTGGGAGGCTGAAGCAGGCAGATTGCTTGAGGTCAGAAGTTCGAGACCGGCCTGGGCAACATGGCAAAACTCCATCTGTACTAAAAATGCAAAAACTTAGCTGGGTGTGGTGGTACATACCTGTAGTCTCAGCTCCTCAAGAGGCTGAGGCACAAGAATTGCTTGAATCTGGGAAGCAGAGGTTGCAGTGAGCTGAGGTCACATCACTGCACTCCAGCCTGGGCAACAGAGCAAGACTCCATCTAAAAATACAATACAAAAATTAGCCGGGTGTGGTGGTATACACCTGTAGTCCCTGCTGCACAGGAGGCAGAGGCAAGAGGATTGCTTGAGCCTGGGAGGTGGAGGCTGCAGTGAGCTGAGATTGAACCACTGCACTCCAGCCTGGGGGCGACAGGGGAAAAAAAAGGGCAAAAAGACAAGAGAATAATGGTGCAGAGGAAGATGTGGACTGAGCTTCCTCAGCGTTCTTGGGCTCTGTCGCTTGTGAGGACAGGGCCGTGGGCTCCTGACAGGTGCTGGTTTCTGCTGTACGTGTTCTTCCATCTCATGCAGGTTGTTGGTTTTTTTTTTTTCGTTCTCTCTATTTGCTGATCCCCTGCCCCCATTTTTCTCTGGCAATAGTCACCCAAACAAGAAATACTGCTTCTCACACCTTTCTAAAATTTGGCCAATTCAGGTCTCGGTGTAACTATCATGATTTTTCCAGGAAAGTCTGGTCATGCTGTGCTTTTGAGCAGTTTAATTCTCAGAGGCCTATCCAGCTTCCTTTCCAAAGTGAGAATTTGTCTGATTCAAATTTTAAAATAGCAATTATTTTTTATTGTTAAATGGTTATCAGGAAGGATACTTTGAAACTTCAGCAAATAATAAAACTCTTTTCCTGACTATTTTGAACTGTTATTTTAATATCTTCAGCATAGTCTTAGGATAATTGAGCTTCTATTAGAGATAATCATTTATATTTATTGATACTCTGCAGTCCAGGGGATCCTTCATTTAAATGTTGAAATGGGAAAATGTTAGAAAGCTTAGCATTTTATCTGACTGTCATGTGTAGGTATTATCTTTAAGAATTTTTATCTTGTAATGCCATGTTATCTTGACACATATGGAAAAGTATTACGGAGCTTTTCTAGGACCTTGGCAAAGCCAGCAGCCTCTGCATCACTGCAGAGCTTGCTGGAAATGCAGGCCCTTGGGCTTTAGACAGGCTCTCCGTCTGAGTTAGTAATGACTGCATGGCAAACTACCTCAAAACACAGTAGCTTCAGATGACAGTCGTTTTGACAGCTTATGATCCTTTGGGTCAGGAATTCGGTCAGATTCCGCTGGGCAACCCTTCTCCCCGTCATGGCCTCCCACCTGCCCCAGCTGCCCCTGGTGGGCTTCCTCACAGCCCGGGTGGCTCCGGCAGAAGCACTGCTTGTGCAGAGGCTGCCGTGCTCCCCACAGCAAAGGCCGGCCGCCCCATGGGAGGCCATGACAGGGAGAAGGGCTGCCCAGCGGAATCTGTCAAAATTCCTGACAGAATTCAGGAATTTGGGCACCACCGCTTCATTTTGTGGTCATTTCCAGGAGGTTATAAATTAGAGTCTAAATTAATTGCTCAGTTCAAAGTAGCAAAATTTATTTTCTTTCTGCACATATTTTCAACAAAGATTAGTATATGGATAGAGAGTGTTTTGAAACATTCTTGAGATTCGGGACCTATCGCGTTCAGCCTGCATTTTATAAATTTCCTTAACCATCAGGGCTTTCAGTGGCAGAACAGGCCATTGAGAGCATTGAAAGTTGCAACAGATTTATAGTTTATCCTTGATTTCCTCACTGAGAACAAGGACCTGTTTACTCTTGTAGACACTTAAATGAAATGTTTATCAGAATCATTCACTATAGGGTAGGAAGCATTAACGGTTTTGTTTCTTTGCTTCATGAGAGTAGCTGAGAGAATATGAAATTTTATTAAGGAAAACAGTAGCCTCCTTGGGAAAATGATTAGATTGTATGAACACTTCAAATAGATTACACACTATTTTTAGAAAAGTTTTTTGAGGGCTTTTAAAAACAGAAAGCAAGAATAATTTTATGACTATAACCCAAAAATAGAGCAGTCAGTTTTCCAAAGTATAGCATGTTATTACACATCTGTCTTGTCTAAGTAAAATTGAAGAGGTTGAGACAAGTGTTTAACTGTTCCTAGAAAAAGCATGGACTGCGGTGGAAACATGGAGTCAAAAGACACAGATTTACTCTTTATTTCCTTCACTGTGTGTATGTGTGTGTGTGTGTGTGTGTGTCTGTCTCTGTGTGTATAGCGGTATCTCTGTGTCTCTGTGTGTGTGCATCTGTGTGCATATGTGTGTGTGTGTGTCTTTGTGTCCGTGTCTCTATATTTGTGTGTCTGTCTGTCTCCATGTGGGTACCTGTGTGTGTGTGAAGATCGTGTGTACTGTATTTATTGTTTTTATGTAAGATTATGCTTTACTCATTACTTAACTAATGATTAACCTAATACAGAGAATAAAGTTACTTGGCTCTGTTTTAATGTAAGAAACAATATAGCTTCATGTTGGCTAGAGTCTGGAATTAGTTGGCTTTGGGAATCGTGTGTGTGTGTGTGTGTGTGTGTAGTTTTTTTTGTTGTTTTTTGTTTTTGAGAGGTGAGGGTCTTACTAGCCCAGGCTAGATCCAAACTCTTGACCTGAAGTGATCCTTCTGCCTCCGCCTCCTAAAGTGCTGTGATTACAGGTGTGAGCCACTGTGCCCGGCCAGCTTTGAGCATCTTGATGTTTGAGGAAGTAAGATTTCATGATAGCTAGCTAATTTTTATGTCTGCCCTAAGGTCTTTTTTTGACAGAGGATACCTCTTCATTGTCTAATCCTGAGTGGAGCATCACAAGCATGAATTTTTAACAGTAATGCTGTCTTCTAACATGTTTTCACTTAGGAGATGACACTTTTTAAAGGTTCTTTGAAAGAAAATAGCAGCTATAAAGATGTAGCCACCAGAGTAGCTATTGGTCTTAATTTCCACTTTCAAGTTCTGCCTTTCTGAGTTGTTGTTTTTGTTGTTGTTGTTAAATGTTTTGCAAATGGCTAAGTCCATGAGGGCAATATTAGACATTTTTATATAAATAATAATAAATTTTGAAAAATCATATATATACTTTTGATAATGTGATTGACAAACATACAAACCAGGTCCTTTGTAAGAAAAGTTTTTAGGACCAAAACTAACCCAAAGTAACTAGATTAAATATATGCCATAAAACTTTATCTTTTTTTCCTCCCCAGGTTCACCTCCATTTCTCAATGTGAGAGCTTTACATCATTAAGATGAGTTGAATATAGATTTCAATTAATGTCCTTCCTAAATGATAAGGATGTAGACTTATAAGCAGGACAAGACTAATCATCTTAGCATTTTACTGCGGGTCCCATCGGTAAGGTCTAGAGAGCTGTTCCGTGTCTCAGTTACTTGGAACTTTCTGACTCTGTCTTTCTTTTTGATTAAGACTCCAGGGTATTCAGAACTGAGAAAGGTGGCAATGAAGCCTTTGCACAGGGAGTATGGAGGCATTTTATTTAGAGTTGGTTGCTACTCAGACACCTCTTGCTTATCCCATTTTAATAATGATCAACCCTGGTCATCTTGCTAGAGCTCCAACTTTAATAATTTCTGTGTAAGTGGGATCAAGCGAGATTTAGAAAAAAATCTTTTGAAAAGTGTTTAGTTATGTATTTTGCATTTAAACTAATATATTACCTAACATATTTATTAATTTGCTTTTCACATTAGCTTATTTTACATAAATATAACTGTTTGTTTATGCCTAAAAGTGGTGAACACTATTCAACATGAATAAAGGAGGTTACTTTAAAAATGTACATAGTACATAAAGAAGGTTATTTTATGTACTTGCTGTGTCAAGCATATATAAAGAAATCGTTATCGAGCTTCTGGTGAGCAGAGAATAAATCAGTATTTCACAAACTGTGGATTGGAGACAGCCCTGAAACTCACCATTCATATTCTATTAGACATCTTCAGTAGCAGAGATTTGTATAGAAGTCATGAAATAATCACTGCCTCCCCATGGGGGAAAGTGAGGGCCTCAGCTTTGCATGACATACCATGTAGATGTGTAGATGTCCCTGTGTCAGTGAGAATGCTTTCCCTGCCGGTGCCCATGGTCTTGACTCTGCAGGGTCTATAATTACTTGTGAAACAGAGTCTGTCTCAGCTCAAGCAGTGACAAGGCAGGTCTATTTGGAGAACAGTGTGTCCCTTCCTTTCTGAACTGGCCCTTTGGTGTTCAACACTCAGGCCAGTGGCCTATTTTTAAAAACAAATGATATGCATTAATAGTATCCATATCAGGTCAGGTTTAAAGAACACCCAATATTTATGGAAATGCGAGTCTCCATAATTGATTAATTAGGGGGAAATTATGTGCATATCCAAGTAACTTAGTATACAAATCCTTTCTAAAGACGTTTTCCCAGATTTATAAAATTAGACTACATATGGTCCTCAGGAGCACTTCGGTAGAGATTAAGACTCATGACTCTTGGGTGAGATTGCCACATTTTATTGATTAAGTAAATATTGATGTGCTAAAAAGTGGTGGTTTTTTGTGCAGTAGAAAAAGGCAGTGATATTTACTAACCGCTCTTTCTCTCTTTTTGCCAGACTTAGAAATGGCTGTTGCATATTGGAAATTAGTGTTATCTGGAAGGTTTAAGTTTTTAGATCTCTGGAACACATTCTTACTGGTGAGTGTCCTCCTGCATCTCGCTCTGTGCCCACTGTGGAGGGAGGCGGTAGGTGTGAGGCTGCATGTCATCATCCCACATGCATGGAGGTGGTGGTCAGCAGACGAGCATCTCACACAGAGATCGCAGGTCCTCTTGGTCCTGGAGACTCTGCCACCCCAGCAGCCCCGTGTTGTCTCCTCCGAGGACCCGGACGGTAATTCTGTCTTCACTGAGAACTGAATCCTCGACAGGGTGCCAGTACCACACTTCTGTAGATTGGTTTGGTGCCCAGCCAATCCTGTGTCCATGGTCCGGGGCCATTTCTAAGTGTGTCTTACCATGCTCAGGAGGAAAGGAAGCCTTCGTGGGCCTCCAGACAGACACTTTGTGGCATGGGGTAGGGCTGCGTCATACCAACCCGTCTTGCTGGCAGCAGGTGCAGCTTTGGGTTGTTGGAAGTGAGTGGCTCAGGCCCAGTGATGGCAGAGATGCCCAGACCTCTTGCCGTTCTGTCCATGAAAGTGAAAGAAGTGGCCCTCCACCGCCCCACCCATGGCTGGGCCATGATCCGCACTGCCTAGATTCAGCTGACACCGGGTGGCATGGACTTTGCCACTTACGAGTCCTGTGGCCTTGGGCAGGTCACTTCAACATGACTCTGTTTCCTCATCTGAGACTGGCAGCCAGAGAGCATGGCAGGTGGAGGGTGCAGCTCTGTGTGGAAGTGATGTCACTCAGTCTGCGGGTTTGCCACAGGGAGGCATCTTTGCAGCTGTGTTTCATTACATCATGTGCTGCATTGCATCTCTCGAAACATCCAGAGGTCTGTAATGCTGTCCCTGCAGCCCCCTTACAACTTACCTGAGGTCAAACCTAAATCATAGATGTTTCCCAGAGAACCTCACGCTCTTGTGTGCAGAGATGGGAATGAAGGTGCTCACAGGGTCATTGTAATGGCAGGACACTGGAAAAGCCAGTGACCATCCATAAAAGAGTAGACCTAAAAATCAGAACATCGGTGCAATGGAGCACAGCTTCAGAGCCATGCAAACAAACGCAGATTTACACACACAGTCTGGATATATTTCAAACATAATGCTGAATGGGAGAAAACAAGTTGCAGAAAACTACATTTAATTTGGTAGCATTAATGTTTTAAAAGGTAAGACAGGGGCCGGGCGCGGTGGCTCACGCCTGTAATCCCAGCACTTTGGGAGGCCGAGGCGGGTGGATCACAAGGTCAAGAGATCGAGACCATCCTGGTCAACATGGTGAAACCCCGTCTCTACTAAAAATACAAAAAATTAGCTGGGCATGGTGGCGCATGCCTGTAATCCCAGCTACTTGGGAGGCTGAGGCAGAAGAATTGCCTGAACCCAGGAGGCGGAGGTTGCGGTGAGCCGATATTGCGCCATTGCACTCCAGCCTGGGTAACAAGAGCGAAACTCTGTCTCAAAAAAAAAAAAAAAAAAAGGTGAGACAAGTTTATGAGCTGTTCATGAATATATATATTTAGATGTAGCTAATGGACAGGTAGCAAGATTAAAATTAACAGAAACAGGAGTTTATAATTGTAATATTTAAAATTTTTTTTAATAAGTCTGCTTTCTTTATTTGGACCTTGGCATTGTTGTAGCACTTAACATTTATACAGAACGCTATTACTTTTAACTTCTAAAAATTTTATTAATTGTACTTATTCCTGATCAAATTAATGAAGATTATTAACTGAACATCACTCATTAATTGAAGACACTAGGCCACTAGAATATAAGAGAGTTAAGCTCTATATCTTAAATCCGGTGGGTTTTTTTGTTTTTTACTCTTATATGTTAGGAACATCACAAAAGATCAATTCCAAGGGACACCTGGAATCTCCTGCTGGACTTTGGAAACATGATTGCAGATGATATGTCTAACTACGATGAAGAAGGTACTGGAAATTGTGCTTCAGATGATTCACCAAAATGCTTACACCTGAGAACGTTAACTTTTCCTGCCTCTAGAGTGGTGACCCCATCACTGAGATGGGGGTGGTGATAATACTATCCCCTCCGTTATTATTTTCTGTAAATCATACAAAAGAAGGATAGGACTTTATATTTAGTTTAAATCAAGAAGTCCTCTAAGCCAAAGCATTTCAAAATTGAATGTGACCCCCACGGTAGAGCCATGGAGTTAGGTATTTGGAAACCACCACTCCCAAATTCTCAGTCCCACACGATGCCTTAGGTCAGTTCTGCACTGCGCTACGTAGGTTTACTTGGAGATTCCAACTCCCGTCCACTTGCGTAAATATATCTACATACTCGTCTGCCTCTGTGTTTAGGACGCTGCATCAGACGGCCTTTGGAGCCTGCTGTGTGCTGGGCACACTGCCGTGTTGGGGAAGGGATGGTCTCTGAGTGGAAGGCCTCCCATCTAGGCGCCACCCACTTGCCTCCTCACTGCCCCCTTGGCAGGCAGTGATCTGTTTTCAGTACTGGCACGGTGCCTTGTGACAGGTGGTTTACGTGTCTGTCTGCCTGTTTTAGCTTATATTTCTCTTTGTGTCCTCTACAATTAGCACCATCCCTAGATCAGAAGCACCCAGTAAATGCTTGTCAAATGAAAGAAGGGATCGTTGAATATCGACAGAAGCGCAGCTTCCAAGAGCCTTCCAGGCCTCAGTGCAGGAGTTCACAGGGCACTCGGCTGCCGGTGGGGAGAGGCAGGGAGGGTCCTACTTGGGAAGATGGGCAGGAGGCAGCAACCCCCCGCTGCCAAGAATGCCGATGACTGGAGGAACGTGCCTCCTGCTCTCCTGCTCCATGTGGGTCCATTTAGCTCCCTTCCTGAGCCACTGATGTGACTTCGCAGAGCACTCACCGAGGACACGGGGCCACTGTGAGCCCACGGGCCCCTGGACATAGCACGCACACGCCAGGGCTGCTGACCTGGCCTTGCTAGGGTGAAAGTGGCTCAAGCCTGTAATCCCAGCACTTTGGGAGGCCGAGGCGGGTGGATCACGAGGTCAAGAGATCGAGACCATCCTGGTCAACATGGTGAAACCCCGTCTCTACTAAAAATACAAAAAAATTAGCTGGGCATGGTGGCACGTGCCTGTAATCCTAGCTACTCAGGAGGTTGAGGCAGGAGAATTGCCTCAGCCCAGGAGGCGGAGGTTGCAGTGAGCCGAGATCGCGCCATTGCACTCCAGCCTGGGTAACAAGAGCGAAACTCTGTCTCAAAAAAAAAAAAAAAAAAAAAAAGAACTGGGTAACTTGGGCTGGTTCATTCTGTGAAACATGAACGGTATGGGTCTCAAATCATTTGCGTTCTTTAAATGTAAATGTTGGATTGATATGTGGCACAATGCTTTGAAGACAAAAGCTGTGCTCTAACAGGTTTTCTGTTTGTTTGCTTTCCTTTAGGAGCTTGGCCCGTTCTTATAGATGATTTTGTAGAATATGCACGGCCAGTAGTCACAGGTGGAAAGCGCAGCCCTTTCTAGGCAGCAAGTTAAGCTGGAGTAAGATTATGAAATGATTTGCATCCTGCCGGGAGATTTTGGTCAGTTCCTAGGTGCATTGTTACTGATTCCAGAAGTCATTCTTGACCAGCCATGAAACCAGAGGAGTCACCGCATTCTGCCGGAGGACAGCAGCGGCTGCCTTGTGGACATCGCAGGAAGTTCCTCAGGACACAGCTACTTTGGATGTTTAGATTTGTCATCATAGCTGTTGCGTTAGGAGATTTCTGCATGATTTTTAAATATTCACAAAACGGTAAGGTAGAGCCGTAGTGCCACCTGTGGGAGCGCAGAGCTTGTTGCAGCGCTCATCCACTGAGTGACGCTGCTGCCACACTGGAGACACGGCGTGTGTCCTGTGGGAGCACAGAGCATGCTGCAGCGCTCAGCCACTGAGTGACGTGGCCACCACACTGGAGACACGGCGTGTGTCCTGTGGGAGCAGCAGAGTATGCTGTAGCGCTCAGCCCCTGAGTGACGCGGCCACCACACTGGGGACGTGGCGTGTGTCCTGTGCAGGATGCTGTGTTTTACACACATCAAAGCTGTTGAGAATGTGTCCTAAAGAAGATGATCTTGTCATAGAGTCTAATGGTTTTTAAAATTGGTGCCAGGAATTCAAGATTTATATTTTTTGAATTATCGAATGTCTAGATTTATCGGCTCTATTTTTGTTTTCATTTTCTCTAGACATTCATCCGAAAATCATTTCATGGTTCTCAGTCCCCATGTAGCTTTGCACAGCAACAGCACATGTGGCACGATTCCAGCAGAGTTTGTTTCACAGTTTATATGTCAGTGGGCCTCTTTTACTTCATTCAATAATGTTACTTGAACTGCCTGAGAAGTTTCATAAAGTACGTTTTAAAAAATATTCTTTTAATTACATTTAAAGACATTTTTCCATGAAAAATATGTATGAGTGATGAATGATAAATTTTCAAATCGAATGAGTTGGTTCTTTTCACCCTCCTGTGGTGCCCATAGCACCCAGCATCCAGACCTTTGTGTAGCCGTGCACATTTGGAAGCTAAAATCTACATCATTGTCCGAAAAAACCCAGTCCCAAAACCTTCAGCTGATTGGTGAGCTAAAGCCTGTCTTTGAGCCATGTTATCATCTGCTTTTCGTGTCTGCCTGGTGAAGGAGGACCCGTGAGTGCCGCCGTGGCATGGAGGGCTGGTGTTGAGTTGTGAACATCACCGTTTTGACCCTACCTCACATGTGCCAAGACCCTAGTGCCTTGCTGTCCCCCTGCAGCACCGTGCAGGATGCGGACCAGCTGGAGCTGCTCCCCAGGAGAGAGAAGAGTCACCTGCCACAGACGACCTAGCTGCAGTGACAGAGCATGGCCCAGACGTGCAGCTGGGTTGGCTTCAGGAACATCTGGTGGCTGAGGTTCGTGTGCCTAGCAGCTGCAGGACAAACTATCAACACTTCTCAGCAGAGATCATCACAGAGGGCAGCAGGGACAGGACTGGAAGGGACTTGCAGCCTGGAGATCTGCCTGGCCCCAGCTGGCCCCTGGCTGGTCAAGTGATGGACAAGTCACAGGCCTTCCTGACGCTCTGCTTCCAAATCTCTAACAGGAAACTGGGCCATGTCTGCCTTTAGAAGGCTTCAATTCTCAGAGAGCATTTGTTTAATACAAAACACTGGCTTTTATAAAAACCTCAAAAATATTAAAAGCACCTTCTAGGCGTCCTGGATTCTTGACATGTAATTGTTCTGTTCAGAAGAGTTTATATAATTCAGATAATTCTGTATAAATGATGGAGATCTGCAGTGCTTTTTTGTTTTTGAGATTTAAAGTTCTAAGGGATTGTCAATAGATACCAAAATATTAATCACTGGACAAAAGCTTTTCAAACAGTTGTGGGTTTTTTTCTTCTGTTGTATACATTTGAGTCCTGCATGTTGTGAAATGCTGAGAACAGAAGCATTAAATTGGTTTCTCTTGGGTGTGGTGTCCTTTCAGTTCTCCTTGGCTGCAGGGATGCCTGCCTACAGGTGTCAGCATCTGGGTCCTTGTCCAGGGATGACTGGACAGCCCGGCCTAGCAACCAACAGGCAGGAACAGCCCCGGCTAGCAACCAGCAGGCACAGAACAGCCCCGGCTAG